TTAAATGCCTCTTTTTCTGCAACTGCATTGCCTTTCTCAATTGTCCTTCAGGATTTTGGTCTTTGTTTATGGAATCACGAAGTATAATGATTCTTAAAAACTATACCAGCGTGAGTACAAACGTATCCTTTTGAGAGGTAGCCGCACCCTTATAAAAGGAATAAGACCCAAACTTTTCAGGTCAAAATTTCAGTAGGTTGCGTCTGTATGGCCTTTTCAATTTTATAAATTATCATTATTTTTAAGTGGAAAAATAAAACTCAAAATTAATGACAATCTTTGCGCTAAAAAAATAATATCATAAAATAGTCATTATTTGTAATCCCAAAAATAAAAATCAAATAATAATTATTTCCGTTTGAGCGAAAAAATAAAAATCAATAATAATTCATAAAATAATGATTAAATGCTGATTTAAATTATTTTACTCATAATGATTACCTTCCCTGCTTTTAAAATTTAAAATAAAATAGTTTAGTGAAAGTACCACATTTCACTGCTTTTGGACTGGTGTGGAACTAGTTACTATCGGACTGGTTCGCTTTTGGCGAAAAAGAACTAGTACTGAACTAGAAATCTGGTTCACTAGTTCGTGTTTTCCATATAGGGACTCGTCTCAACACGGCGAGCGAGCAACACGCAGCAGGTTCGCTCGTCTAAGAGGAGCCCGTGCAAACAAGCGCTCGTTTGCCGAGAAAGCCCAATAATGACAGAATACAAGATTGCGGCCATTGGAAATGATTTTTGAGTGTAATTTTTGCTGACGTCATCTTGGTGCAATTGCGAGTGAGAGATGCCAAAACGCATAGGAAAAAATGTAAACAATGTGTAAGAATGTGTTAATATCAATATTACTTAAATGGTCCAATTTTGCAGGAATTAATAAATATGCAAAGTTTAATTAAATAGGAACACGTAGCAATTATTTTGGGCATGTAGTTCTTTAGGTATGTACAATTTTCAGCGCATGCCGGATGTTGGAAAAATGCATGAAGTTTTCCTGCTACGCACCGATACATATTATAGGTCTTCACACCGAAGCTTGGTACTCGGTGTTCGGAAATTTTTTCCTCTGTATTTTGTTTGTGTAACATTGTGTGAGAATTACCGGATACAGAGTTACCGAATACCGAGCTCGGTGTGAAGACCCATGTTGTTTCTTACGTTTTATTTGATATCGAAACATATAAAAGATTGTTATTATTGTTTAATACGTTTGAAAAAAAACGACCTCTGGTTACGGTTCAAACGTCACGTCAGCTAGGGGAATGGATAACATTGGATGGTGTCCAAACGGTAAATTTTTTGTTGCTGATGATGTGCGCATGTTTATATGTATAAATACATACTACATTATTTTGTTGCAATCCTACCTATATATCCCCAACATAAACATACATATGACGCGTAGCCGCGAATAACATTGGAAAACTCCCGCTTCGGAAATGGGCAGATTGTAGTTAGCGTAAACGAACATAGCGACACGAGTGTTAAGAAGCCTGCGAAAAGCATAGAAAAAATTTCTCGGGCTCGAACTATCCTGTCTTTTAAGTTAGAACCAAAAATACATACCCACAAAATTTCATTGAAGTTCGTTAAGCGATTTCGCAGATTAGAGTAAACCAGAGGTGCCCAAACTTTATTTTTCTCGCAGACCCCTTTCAAAAAGTTACTGATTTCGGTGGACCCCCTGGTGATACATTTGTAAATATTCCCAAAGCTCGTGAAAAAATTAAATGTGAAGATTAGATATAACTATGGAAATTTGCATCGCGGGAGAATTCAAAAACTAAACTCGAGAGAGGCCAAAAGAAAACCAAAATAGTGTCTTGTGTTCTATTTATAAAAACTTGTATCGCCCAGTTGTCGAAAATCGACATCTTTTTTCATACACTTTTGAATTTTACCTATCACCAATACTAACTCTCTTATGTGAATTACTATTTTGAAGTCCACCAGCATAATTTATAGCGAATTTACAGGAAAACTTAAAATCGAATTATGAACGTTAATACCGGATTGATTAATGCTAATTTTACCAAGTCTCATCCTCATTAGCTTTTGAAAATAGACCGAAAAAGGAACCTCGATTTTCATTTATAAAAAATATGCATATGTATTTGTAAGTATAGATGAGATGTTCATATGCTGCTCTGTAAAATTTCAGGACGTTAGCATAAGCGGTTCCAGGGAAAAGCGATAGGAGAATTTCAGTTTGTATGGGAGGTGCCACGCCCCCTTTCCCAAAATCTACCACTTTTCGGTATTTACAATCTATGCATCTCTGCTAAGTTTTAGTTCCGCAGCATAATTAGTTTTATAGATATAGTGGTTTTCACATTTGAGTCTATATGTCAAGTGCCACGCCCCCTATGTATCGGGATTAATATTTCTGGATTAGAAGAAGTTATATCCTTTAAATCGGTGTATCGCAAAATTTTTTTTGTGGCGTATTTATGTACAGATAATGTCATTACACACTTTCAGATTTTAAAAAATAGAGCTCGTAAATCTATCAAAATACTCTCCCGCTCCTCAGAGTTATATTTATTTTTTAAGAGCACTCCGAACCCCAGCGTTATGTACATTATCCTCGACATAAACTCATCAAATATTCGGCTCCCTCATGACTTTGTACGTGTAGTATTTGTTTTACTTGTGTTGATATCATCGTTTTTTATTTTTATAACTCCGAGTTTTAAAGTAAGGAGAAAAATATTTATCACTTTTTTAAAACACAAAACTTAAAACACCAAAACGGCTAAGCTTTTTACGCCATACTTTTAATTCAGACACTTACAATAGAGAAAATAACGAGTCTAGAAAGATTGGTGACAAACAACCAAGCCAGCAAGAAGCATAAAAAGTGTTCCACCGTCTCATCCTCTTCAAGGCAAGATGGGCAAATGGACTTGTCATTTACGCCTATCACAGTCAGGTGCTTGTGCCACGTGAAGTGACACGTGAAGTGACCAGTCAGCAGTCCAGCAAGTTGTCTTCAGTGTCGTTTACTCAGTGAGAGCAAAAACTTAGATAGACCTTCCGAGATTGACGGTAAAATGAGTTTTGCTCACCTGCATTCCCTCGATGCCTCACAGTCATCGCTGAGCGAAGTATTCACCCAGTTACTGATAATGGCTTAGATGGCCGAAGGTGGGAGCGCTAAAAATGGTTGATGTCCGAATACTGCCTGGTCTGAGCCAACTCTGGCCAAATGGTCAGATGTCTCACAACCAGGTACTCCTGAGTGACCTGGCACCCAGAGTAAAGCAACCTCGTGATGTTCACCATCATATTTTAGTCGAGAATTGCATTGCCGGACTAGTTTGTACTTCACATATATAGAGGGCTGGTCAATGCCTTAAGTGCAGCTTGGTTGTCACTGCAGACACGTAAACTCCTTCCCCTCCATCTGTATTCCACCACGTAGTTCATGGTTTTGAGGATTGCAATTACCTCAGCCAGGAAGACCGAAGCATATTCCCCTATAGAGAAGGGAAGCTTATCCCCATTAACTTCGAAAAATACCCCAGATCATGACCCAGAGTCAGTTTTGGAGCCATCAGTTAAGATTCGACAATGTGCGAGTCCAGTCTCAGTGATGGAATTAAACCAGCATTCAGTCTCAGGGAACTCAACACTGGAATCTCTTCAACAAAAGTTATGGTAAATCGCTGCCGCCAGCAATTTCCGCCGCGCCCTACTCTGTTTTATACCAACATCCGGTCTTTTTAGTCTGCCGGTGGCCTTTAAGGCTTCCCCACGTATGAAAACACAAAGTAATGGTAAGTTCAGCAGTGCGTCAAGAGCACTATGCACTACTCAAAAAAACTCAAGTTAAATAAAGAAGCTATCAAGCAACCATTTTGGTTCTTTACTATCGACTTACAGCTCATGGTCCCTCATATTTTTATTCACGCCAACGTAGAGCCCTGTCGAGTCTCCCGTGGATTCCTGGGGGGTCCACCTGGACCACTTTGGAAATCACTGGCGTAAACGAACACAGTGACACGGGATTTTTATATATTAAGATTAGTGACCACAAATCACAAAATAAGGTTTTACAATAAAATGTAGACTCTTGATTACAAATGTGTGTTTTTTGGATCGGGTAATCCATTCGGACACAATAGCCCGAAATCATTGGGCAGTTAACTAAACCGTACCCAGTTTAATCGTTATTTGGTTTTCCTCAATCAACAATTGCACCAGGATGACGTCACACACTCAGCTGATTCTGTCAAATTCGCAAAGAGCTGATTAGCGGTACCGCATGTCCATGATGCAATTATACAAGGTGTTTGAGGCTGGCAGCTTCTCGCTCTAATTTCGCCAATTGACTGCCTTAGGTGAAACAGTGGTACTTCTTTAACAATTCTTTGCCTAATAATATAGTTGAATATTTTTTATTTTTTCTTAGTACATTTTGTTTTCCTAAAAAGGTATTTTATCTTATTTTATTTCATTTCATTACAAATATACTATAAAAAAAAAATATATTTTGTTTAGAGGAAAATATGAAATTTTATATTTCCCCCCAAACGGGGATTAATTTCTTCCCGTGTTTCTTCGTATACTACTCAGCTAAGGCAGTATCAAATCGAGCTGTAACAACCGATACCACCTTGTATTATTGCATCATGGAGCAAGCCAAACTTCTCGTGCCTCGCCTCATTGCCGCTACGAGTACGAGCTGCGAGCGCCTGGTTGCCTGCGGGGCATTGAGTAGGAGTTTGCTCGCTCGCTCGCTCGAACTCCGAGTTTTTGCGTACCCTTATTATACCCTTGTGAACAATGCGCTTGGGTATACAAATTAATATTTTTGGTGCAATTTTCAAACGCAATAACACGAAAACTAGAGCCAAACCAGAAAAACGCTAAGATCAATGAAATCAGGCTATTCGAGTAACATATATTTACCAGATATGAACCATCAATGTAGAAATTTTCCAATAACACTGTATGTATAATAAGTTAAATAAAAACGTTGATTGTGTTACCTTTTGTTCATCCAATAATAAATTATTGGATTTACCATAGCGTTCGACATAGCCAGCCAGTAGAATCCTAAGTACATGTGCTGAACATACTTGGTAGAAGTTACATCGTTGTTGTGGTATGCATAGATGAAGAACATATGATATGGAAACCAGCAAATAGCAAATATTGAAACAATGGCAATAAACATTCGGACTACTTTACGCTTCGATCTCATTGATTCCATTTGGCGATCAGTATTTTCTCCAATGGAACGGCTTCCCCTAAAATTATAACATATTTAAAGTGATTGAGAAGTTTAAAAAGTGTTATGAGCGTTTTAAATACCAGAGAACGCGACCCATTAGGGTGTAACATATAAGCATAACAACCATAGGAAAACCATATGTGAGGATGAGCAGAATAATGTTGTAACTGCATGTAAAAATATTTGATTCAGAATTCAAGATTAAGTATAAGCAATTTCAAAAACATGCATATGTTTGTGTATACATATGTGTGTTAAGCTAGCCACAAACTACAAAAATGTGCGCAAACTTGCCAAAATGGTATTTTGTAACTTCAAATAAATATGAGATCTCGTTAAAAACACTTAAATTACGGTAAATCCAAGTTTTTAGGACAAAATGTTAAAAAGGTGAATTAAAAAATACACTATCACTTTCTTAATTTTTTTGTATTGTCTTTAACGATGAAATTAATTATACTGCCGGTTTTTTAGCCTCGCATACCTGCAGGAGTTCAAGGCATTAGTATTTTTGTGTGCAAGCCAGGGACGCCAACTAATTTTATATTTTTCCCCGTTGGTCACTGTGAAATTCCCCGATTTTCGGTCAAATTCCATTAAAACAAAATGTTTAGTTCAATTGCTTGAAATTATTAACGAATGTAGGTACATACAATATTTAAATGTTAAATCTAATTTCTCATAAAAATATACTTATTTTATTGTATAACATACGCCATATAAGTCAATGTTTAAAATTTTGGGCAAAACTTACAAAAATTCAACAAATTAAAAAAAAATTTTAATCAAAATTTTCAACTTTTTACTCGGAATTCCTAGAAGCTAATTTAATTTTGGTATAATAATTTGCACGTTTGAAGTGGCTAAAAGTTACCGTTGATTTTTTATAACTTTTTTGCTGGGGCCTTTCGCTCACTTGAATTTAAATACAGATGATAAAGAAAATACCATGCTTTATATATTAATAAATGAATAAATAATTGCATTATTTAATATATATGTATATACATACAAATGAACATAAGTAAGATTTAAAACAGCAACCTTGAGCAAATACATACTTCATTTAAAATTTCGAACTAGTTCGTTCGATCAATTCAATAACCTAGGGCATTGAACTAATTAGCTCGGGAGCTTCCCAACTCTATTGACAAGGCGAATTTGGCGAATGCTGAAATCAATGTTTTTATAGTGTTGCTAACGCGACTATAAAATAAAATTTTACAAAAAGTATTATGCACTCTAGGTAAGTTCTTTAAAATTAAATAGCCGAAATTCCCCTCAAAAGGCAGCTCATTCCCCGATTCCGCGCAACGAGTAAAATTAGCCGCAAATTGGGGAATTCCCCGAAAGTTGGCATCGCTGGTGCAAACCCCTCACGGTGGGTCTGAAGTATTTTTAAATGGGGCATAAATACCACAAAGGAACTAGCAACGTGATATCAATTTCCAATGTTTTAGAAGCAATTTCCCATAAAAACCAAAATCGCCTCTAGGTAACTTTTTGAAATGCAGTAAAATCCGTTTATAATGGACTCCGCGAGACCGCGTCAAATTGTCCACTATTACCAAGTGTCCATTTCATCAGAATATAAAATTTTAAATCTCAAAAAGCGTTTTATTTATTAATGAAATGATGTACATGTATAAATACAAAATTGTGTACTTTCCATGTACGTAAAAGCCGGTTTTTCCCTCGACATTTTTCTTAAACGTAGAACAAAACGTAGATCAAAAACCAACGAACCGTCGCTCACAGTCAACCGCAGAAGCTGATTTTGAAAGATTTCGGTGAACCAATGAACTTTGTTTATGTATTATAGACATTTTCTGTTGCAGAGACTTGCATCTCTTTACTGAATTCCGGGAATTACCGAACTTTGTTAATTGCAGACCTTTTTTCTTCAATATTGCCATGACACCTCCTGTTATAGTCAGCGTTGCCGCGAGCTTGGAAAAAAGTATCAGTTGCAAAGCATAAAAAGTATCAAAAGCAAACACAACTTTTGCTTTCTAAACTTTTATTTGAAAAACAAATAATAAATAAAATTTTATATTTAAATCCATAGTTATAAAAAAATTTAAATTGCTCTAACAAAAACAGATTGCTTATTTGCATAACGAAAAACAAACGTATAGGGCCCCTAAACCACACAAAATCATTGCGCAATATTGTGGAAATTACTACACAATAATTGCGCTAACCTTGTTTTGGAGAAACGTTGCTCAAGTAAATATGTGCAAAAATATGCGTTGTATATTTTGATAGCTTCAGCTTTTTTTTCTCTTATCCATATTTTACAGCACGATCTGGACACCAAAATGTCCAAACTAGACTAAATAAAATTATAGCTTAAAAAACTAAAACCTCGCTATTAAAATTTCCATTCGTACTGTCATCAGGTTACTTTAAGAATGGAAGTTTAAAGCAATTCTCATTCGTACTGTCATCGGGTATGTAACTTGAGAATGGAAATCGCTGCATCTTTTAGGCGTATCAATATTACATAGTTACATCCCGAGTTAATAAAAGCGAGGTAAAAAATGCGCAGTTATCGCCATTCGCAACTCAAATTACACAGGCCGACAAAATAAGACCGATCTCCTTATCCACAAACCAGACTATACTTTCCCGAAGGTTTTCGGTGCGCTGAATTCAAATATGGCCACTGAATTGCTCTATCACCTCAGGATTTTGAGATATTCTAACCTCCCTGCCCATTTTTGAAGTTTTGTATGCAAGCCAGAGTAATTTTTCTCAAAAAAGTACTAAAAAGGTGTTCAAGTACAAGTCCTTCTCTTTGAAATGGCGTTGATTTGCTCAAATATCTTTTTGCTTCGCTGAGATATTACAGTTTTAAGTTTACAGATCTTCCAATTTTTCTATATCTTGAAAATCATGTAAGCAACATAGCGGCCACTTAAAACTTAAACTTAAAATTGTAATATCTCAGCGAAGCAAAAAGATATTTGAGTAAACTCAACGCCATTTCAAAGAAGACTTGTGCTTTAACACCTTTTTTGTATTTCTTTTTTTAATTACTCTGGCTTGCATACACAACTTCTAAAATGGGCAAAACGGCATTTTTTGCACTTATAGGTTGAAATATCTCAAAATCCTGATGTGATAGAGCTATTCTGTGGCCAGACTTGAATTCAGCGCACGGAAAACCTTTGGGAAAGTATAGTTTGGTTTCTGGGTAAAAATTGTGTCGGCCTGTCTTATTTAAAAAGAAGGCTGACGTGTTGCTAGTTATCTCGATTCAGTTTAATAACAACAAATCTGAATATTCCAATGGCTTTCGCCTATAACTTACAACTCTTTTTTCACAATTTACTGACATTCTAAAAGAGTTTTGCATGCAAGACATAGAGCTAGAAACTCTTTTTAGCTAATTCTTAGTCTTTCAAAGTTTTTGCGTAGTTGAAAAAATTAATTTAAGCCATGAGGAATTATAGATGAAGTTCTTAAACAGGGGTACTTTTCCACAGTTTGAAAAAGTATGTTGTTTTTTATTTTTAATACCACATTCAAACGAAGCAACTGAAAGGATCTTAAGCATGATAAACATATTTTTATCATGATCTTAAGTTTTCTTCCTGGCGCAAAGAGAGAAATCGGCTTCTAATTAAAATTATTTAAAGTGAACTTCATATTAACAGTAATTTTAAAAGGAAATGTGTAGAATTCTTTGACTATTCAAACACTGAAGATGGAAATGATCTTGTTATTGCTATTCAAAATTGTCATAAATATAAAATAATTTCTTGGCTTCTGTGTACAATGATGTGTACAGTCATGTCTAACACATTTATTTTTTGTGAACTACTAGCTGTACCCTGCGCGCGTTGCTACGCCACCAACTAAAATATATATGAAAGAACGACATTACACAAATATTCAACTCATTTTGAGTCCTTTTATTGATTTTGTTCATTTTGAAAAAATTGTGACATTGCAGCGTTTCGTTTCAATTCGATATTTATTGAAGTGCTGTGGGATATACAATATTTCTTGTTCGGAAGGTTTTCCGACGCGTGAGCAGGCCACATAGAGCTGCCCATGTGAGAAGCATGGATCCTCCAAATTTAATCCAAACACTTGCAACGATTGTCCTTGTGCTTTGTTGATAGTCATTGCGAAAGCAAGTCGCACCGGGAACTGCAAACGTTTGAATTTGAATGGCATATCTGTCGGGATCATTGGGATGCGTGGCAACAGTACGTCTTCACCTTTGAATTTTCCAGTCAAAATTGTTGCTTCGATAACATTGTTCATCATTTTCTTGACTGAGTCTGGTTCCGTTGCAAAGTCGTGGTGGTTTTATGTTTCGAAGAAGAATGATGGGTACGCCAATTTTCAATGTTAGAACGTGCGGTGGCATGCCTGGCAAATCAAGCGAGTTCAAGAATTCAGTTGGATAGTTGACAACTTCGTCTTGATTCACCACAGTATCGATGGACTTATATGTTGTCGTTTCGCCGGGTATTCCATTCTGAATAGTGAAGTTGATGGTATTGACATCGATGTTTTTGGCCGCTAATATAGGACGCGTACTGAGCCACTGATGATTTTTGTAGTTCTGTGCAATCTTTAGGAATACCTTTTGCACCAATTCGGCTATGCTTTCTGTGATCCTACAGAAGTTTGCTGGCAAGGTAATACATTGTGTAGAATCATCAATTTGCATTCGCTCATTTCCAATAACCATTAATTCTTTTACAAAATGGCGGTATAACCGGCACTGTTTGTCAAAAATCACCAGACAATAAAATGAGTGAGATCCGTGTGTTTCCCCTCAAATCTCGCAGTGTACGATCAAGCGCTTCCAATGCTTTCTTGTGAGACATTAGGGGTATTCTCCAAATCTTGCAAAGCCATTGCACGTAGCACGGTTTGCATGGATTGCATAACTTGCAAACACACAAGAACAAAATATATGGGAAACAAAATTTCCTATTGCTGCAAAATATGCAACGTCGACACCCATGTATTTATTTTGCAAAATAGCATAGCAAGATAAATGCGACCCTGTGCTAGTTGTTTTGTTGTTGGAATTGCTACATATTTCTCTCATTCCTCTCATCTCGCTCACTTCATTTTTTTTTTTGCTGTCTCTTGTTATTGTATTTGATACATAATTTCGCTGCTTGCTACCCATGCATGC